TCTTACAAAACCAAAGGTCCATAGAGACTCAATCCACCCGTATTACCATTCCTCTAGTTGTAGATTCGCCTTTTGAGCTGAATAATTCTCCAGAACATGTAACTTCTGCATTAAGGTCTTCTAGAGTATCAAATCAACATCATATGATTACAAGAGACAGCACTGGATTTACATGCCTAAATCCTTGACTGTCAGTATTAAAGAAAGAGAACCAACCACTCTTGATAAAGCATTATAGTCAACACATTGGAGCAATTTTATGGTAGTTACATTGCACGCGTTGACTGCCAATGATACCTGAAATCTTATAGATGCACATGTCAACAGAAATATTGTTAGATGTAGATGTTCTCAACTTCAAATTGAAAAGAAACTTTGATGTTCTCAATTTCTAGATATAAAACAAGACTAGTGGCACAAGGATACTGACAAGCTTCTGGTTTTAATTTCAAAGAGACTTTCAGTCCAGTTGTTAAGCATTCAACCATAAGGATCATCATTACAATTGTTGTACACTTTTTTTGACCTGTGAGACAACTAGACATCAATAATGCTTTCTTGAATGGTAAGCTTTCTGAGGAAATATACATGATGCAACCACCAAATTTTCAACAAAAGACACAAGATGAGAAGGTATGCAGGCTGAAGAAAGCAATTTATGGTTTAAAACAAGCTTCAAGAGCTTGGTTCTTCAAGGTGAAGGCTACTTTAAACGTTATAGGGTTTCATTATTCTCAGGCAGACAACTCCTTGTTATATAAGAGAACTGATGGAGACGAGATCACCCTCGCGATCATCGATAAATATGATTGGATGTCGTTGCTTTTTTAATTACTTTATTGCCTTTTCCCTTATTATTATTAGATTCCTTATTTATGTTATTTAGAATTAGGAAAATAATTATGTGGTTTTATCTTGTTTAGTAAGTTAGGTTTGTGGGGAGTCTACGATATATATATCTGTACTCTCTTCAGTAGGAGACGATGAATAATTTTAAAATTAATCTGATATTGTGAGTTCTTTCACGAGAGAGTATCGTATCTTTCCCCTTTCTCATATCACGTTCTACATCAGTTGGTATCAGCAGACCAACCGACGATCCACGATGCCGCCAAAGAAGGACAAAATCGTGATAGATAACTCAGTTGATGAACGATTTCAGAGAATTGATGAGCGATTCAACTGTTTTGATAAACGATTTGTGGATCTTTCGACGGGCTTCGAGGAACTCCAACTGACGATGCGCACCATGATGGACGAGATGCGTCGAAACCGCGATGTGGCTGACCGGGGCGCTCGCGTGGGACAGCGTGGATGTCATGGATATGACGGGGCGCCCCGCCGACGATCACCACCACCACCGCCGACCGGAGACGACTCAGATGAGACCATGACGGCAGAGAATCCGTTCACTGAAGGGCTCCGTGCGCGGGCCAAGGATGATGGCGAAGTTCGGTTCCCTGCTCATGGAGACCCGATCGATAGGCTAGGGTTTGTTGACCGCAGAGATCGGTTGGACCGCGACGGCGCTGCGAGGCACCGCGCGAGGGGCCCATGGCGAGCAGACGCTGAGGTGGAGGATTTGTTCCGTCGTGAAGCTCTTCTTCCCGAGGATGACGTGTGGAAGGAGGACGGCGTGCGACGCAGGGGACGCAGACCGTTCTTTGATGAAGACATGGAGGAGGGTCCGTGGCGGCAGCGGCGTGCGGGGTTCGGTCGTGCAGGAGCTGGACATGGTCGGCCCCGCCGTGATGTTGGTGGCGAGTGGGAAGACGCCGGCCAGGAGCTATACCGACGTGATTTTCGCCGCCCGAGTGACGACCACGGTGACCCGCGTTGGGAATTGAGATTTCGGGTTGAGATTCCAGAGTTTTCGAGAGGAGCAGATGCAGCGGAGTTCCTCGACTGGTGGGCTGCAGTTGAGTCTGTCCTTAATTTTAAGGAGGTCCCAGATGAAAGGCGTGTCGCGTTTGTCGCCACGCATTTCCGTGGACGAGTGGCGGCTTGGTGGATGCAACTCACGAGCTTGCCACATCGCCAGGGGAAGCCAGAAATCTCTACTTGGATGCAGTTTCGTAAGTACGTAGAACGTGAATTTATGCCTTATAATTATGATCATATGGTTTATCAGCAGTTACATACTTTGCGGCAAGGACAGCGTTCGGTTCACGAGTATGAAGACTTTTATCGCCTCCTAACTCGTGTGGAGGTACGTGAGACAAGGGCCAGTTGATTGTTCAATATTAGGGTGGTTTAAGTATTGCTATCCAAGATGTGCTTAATCTTGTTTTCCAAGAGTTAGTCTCGGATGCACATCAACAAGCTCTCGTTGTTGAGAAACAGTTGGCTCGGACGACGGGTCCTTCCATTGCGTCTTCCTCACGGGCGGATTTCTCTATGGGTGCGGGTGTGCAACCCGGTCGTGGGCCATCTGCGACGGGCGTGTACTCGGGATCGACACCGGCAATAGGGCGCGGCTATGCGGCCAGTGAAGGGCAGTCGGCAGCCGCGGGTGTGCAGCGGACTGGTGTCAGGATTCGATGCTTCGGGTGTGGCGAGCTCAGGCATCGACAGGCGGCTTGTCCAAAAGGGACAGGGTCGCGTGCTTTGTTCGCCGAGGAAACAGTAGAATATTCGGCAGCTGCAGTATATGATGGTCCTCCTATTTTTTACAAGGAGCCGGAGATTCCTGAGATGCATGTCTTCGGAGACGTGGGACAAGCACTTGTTCTTCGTCGCTCTCTTTTGTCCCCACCCATCCATTCCCCTAATCAGGGCCTACGTAGGCAGCTTTTTGAATTTATGTACACTGTGGGCGACCGGGTATGCCGTTTTGTTATTGATTCCGGGTCATGCGAGAACGTGATATCTGACGAGGCCGTGGCGAAGCTTGGATTGTCGACAGAGCACCATCCGGATCCTTATGCTCTCGCCTGGATTCGGCGTGACAACGTTGTCCCTGTCAACAGACGTGTGTTGGTGTCTTTCTCGATTGGTTCGGCATATAGGGATGAGGTGTGGTGCGATGTTGTTTGTTGTGTTTTTGCCCTTATTTTATTGAGTTTTATGTGTTTTATTTTGTGGTTTTTAGGTCCGTTTTAGGCTCGACC